AACTCAAAAAAAAAAAAAAATAAGAAATGCAACCAAAAGGTCAGGGGAGACAAAGGAAATGTAGGCTTAGTTCCTTGAACACAAACCAAGAAACATAAGGACTTTGTCAGCTTATGCTCTGGTTTCCTTCAACTGGGTCATGAATTCACTGTTTTGGAAAGTCAAAGCTTTGTTATTTCTTGCAAGCCTAAGGGAAAAAAGAAGCCTGGTTTATTCCTCAAATTAGCTGGTTAGTTTTGTTCTGCTCAAATTATCCCAGGCAGCTGTTTCTTTTTCTTTCTTTCTGTCCTTTTTGTGTGTGTGTTGGAGTCTAACTCTGTCGCCCAGACTGGAGTGCAGTGACATGCTCACAGCCACCCCAGCATCGACCTGCTGGGCATTAGCAATTCTTCTGCCTCAGCCTTCCAAGTACCCAGAACTACAGGCGTGCACTACCACGTCTGGCTAATTTTTTAATTTATTGTAGAGACGTCTCACCAAGTTACCTGGGCTGATCTCGAACCTGCGAGCTCAGGCAATCCGCTTGCCTCGTCCTTCCAAAGTGCTGGGATTACAGGCTGAGCCACAGAGCCGGGCTGCCAGCTATTTCGTAATGTAAAATGTCCTAAAGTGAACTGATAAGTTTAAATCTGTATCTAAACTGGAGGAACTTTGGTGTAAATGTTCGCATAGGCTTGAAAAACTGTATGTTCTTATGTGAAAAAAGTTAGTATATTTTAGTAGTACTAAAACATTGGGTGTTTTACTTAGCATAACATAGCCTTGAAACCAGAAATGGAATTTGCATTTTAGATGAATACTGTTTGCCTATGTTGGTTTTTCCATAGGCACAATAACTTGCCTGAAATTCCATGGCAACAGGCATTTAGTCAGTGGAGCAGAAGATGGACTCATCTGTGTCTGGGATGCAAAGAAATGGGAATGCTTGAAATCAATTAAAGCTCACAAGTGAGTCTGGCTCTTTCCTGTTGTCATTTCCAATATGCCAGGCATGCAGGGGGCTAACTGTTGTTTTTGCTTTAGAGGACAGGTGACCTTCCTTTCCATTCATCCATCTGGCAAGTTGGCCTTGTCTGTCGGCACAGATAAGACTTTAAGGTAAGTCATTAATGCCCAAGAGTGTCTTTTCTAAGGCTATCTTTTACTACAGTAATTCGATACTATTTCTGCATTGTGTCACAGTTCTCAACCGTTGAAACATACTGAGATAGGGAAAGTAGGAAGCTAGTGATCCTTTTCATAATGGCAGAATAAAAAGGACAAACTCTGTATTCAAATATGTGTTTATACTCCAGTCATCATAGCAGTGAAGAGGTGAAATCTTTTGAAAATACAATGGATAAAACGTTAAAAGGGTGTGGAAATGGAGAGAACTTTAATCCTACTTGATGCTATTTCAAGATGTTTCTATAAGAAAGATAGCAGGTCTTTTTTTTTTTTTTGAGTTGGGAGTCTCACTGTTGCCAGGCTGGAGTGCAGCGGCACGCTCATGGACACCGCAGCTTCAACCTGCTGGGCTGAAGCAATCCTCCCACCTCAATCTTCCAAGTAGCTGGAAGTACAGGCGCGCACCACCACGCCCAACTAATTTTTTGATTTGTTGTAGAGATGAGGTTTCACCAAGTTGCCTAGGTTGGTCTCGAATCCCTGGGCTCAGGCAATCCTCTCGCCTCAGCTTCCCAAAGTGCTGGGATTACAGACTTGAGCTACCGCGCCCGGCCTAGCAGATCTTTTAAACAGCCAGAATTTAGTAAAATTGTCACTTGAATAAGTCTTTATTATGCTTATTCTTTTGCACTTAGTAAAGGTTAATTGATGATTATGCCAAAGTGAACTCCCTGTTTTGCAGAACATGGAATCTTGTGGAAGGAAGATCAGCATTCATAAAAAATATAAAACAAAGTGAGTATTTTTGTTTGAAATACATATAGGTTGAGCATTCATAATGTAAAAATCTGAAATGCTCCAAAGTCAAACTTTTTGAGCATCAACATTATGCCAGAAATGTAGAAAATTATGAAATAATTAGAAATTATTTAGAAAATAACAACTGACCTCGTGACAAGTTGCAGCTAAAACTTTATTTCATGCACAAAATTATTTAAAATATTTTGTAACATTCCTTTCAGGCTATGTAATATATATGAAACAAGTGAATTTCATGTTTAGATTTGGGTCTTAACCCAAGATATCTCATTATGTACGTGCAGATATTCCAAAATCCTATAATTTTTGATGAGATCTTTTTGAACCAAGCATTAACTCATAAAATGTGTATCATCATGTGTTAAGATGGTAATGAATAGGATAATGGATGTGAAAATGCACAGTACAAATATTTACTAGTTTCATTATTACTATAATCGTTTTGGTTTTTTCACTTACAGATGCTCACATAGTGGAGTGGTCCCCTAGGGGAGAGAAATATGTAGTTATCATACTGAATAAAATAGACATCTATCAGCTCGACACAGCATCCATTAGTGGCACCATCACAAATGAAAAGAGAATTTCCTCTATTAAATTTCTTTCAGTAAGTAATTAGAAGCTAATAATGGGAGCTTATGGAAATGGTTGGAATTGTTGATGATATTCTGGATATTATTTTTTTCTCTCCTCCTAGGAGTCTGTCCTTGCAGTGGCTGGAGATGAAGAAGTTGTAAGGTTTTTTGACTGTGATTCACTAGTATGCCTCTGTGAATTTAAAACTCATGAAAACAGGTATATTTCTACCAATCTCTGTGTATATACGTAGAGTCTTTTTTTTTTTTTAAGATTAGGAAATAGAGTTTATTTAAAAACTAAATTAGAAAGAGAGAAAGAAAGAGGAGATTCACCTCCCCAAGGTAGGGGAGGGGGCCAAAGTCAAGAAACATGGCCTGGCCACAGCTCAAAGGGCACACAACCACACCATAGCTTAGCAAGGCAATGGCCTATGTAGAGTCTTAATAAATGTTATGTATGCAGTAGTTTCACAAAGCAGGGTATATTTTTATAAACAACTATAGATATCAGACCTATCTACATGTACACTGTAAGATAATCTGGAGTCTAATAAGGTGGAAAATGTTACCTTTCTGTCCTTAATAATGCAAAAGTGGTGAAGTTGTGATCAGAACTCATCATTTGCATAAGATACTTATCTTTAAAATAAATCTGTTAGTTTTGGGACCTGAAATGCAGCATATTTGAAAAAATAAAAGACAAAGTGACCTTGAGCTTTGTTCCTGACTACTCTTGTCCTTTTACATAGTTCTCCTTGCCTACTTCTGTCTTCCACACAATTCTTTCTTTCCTGAAGGAGAAGTGAAATGACATATAGTCCCTGTTTTGTGCCAGTCTGTTACCTGTTAATGTTTACTGTATTACTAGGAGGTACAGACTGAGTCTCAGAGTAAGTAGTTAAAGTAAGTAGGTAATGGAGCTGGGATATAATAAACCCAGTTCTATCTGACTCTTAGTGCCTACTTTTTCCATTATAATTTTGAAAAAGGTGATCTACTATATAGTGCTTTCTTTCTCTCTCTCTGTCTCTCTCTGTCTCTCTCTGTCTCTCTCTGTCTCTCTCTGTCTCTCTC